GCTATATCTTTACATGAAGTATTTTTGTTGATTCGTATTTTTTACCAGATTTTTTTATCCAACTTTTAAAAATAAAAATGATTTGTTTCCGATTTTATGGTAAACCGATTTATTGATAGTCCCCGATTTGCTATGGGTTGCCCTAACATGACGAATATATCCTTTTGCAAATATAGTAATGGCCTCTATATCTAAGGTCTAGGGTCAAGATCCACCTATTATTGCGAGCCTCAAGAAGGCTTTATCTTATAGGGGCTAAGGAGCCTTAAAACATTGAATACCATTGGATTTGGGATACCTCCACCTGCAGGAAACAAGAGTTAATTAGAAAATCACTTTGAGCTTTGGGCTCTCATATTGTACGAGTCCTATCAGCCTAGTCAGATGCTTGCCGCTTATGGTTAGTGTTGAGGGCTTTCAAACTAAACTATCCGACGCATGAAAGAAAAATAATAAATTAAAAAATAAAAATACAATTAAAGAATTGAGAGAGTATACCATCTCTCAGAGTCTGTAAAGGAATTTACCCCAAAGGCCTTCTTGTAAGATAAAAAAACAATCCTTTTTCTAAACCAATAGTTACATATTTATATAATAAAATGAACTCAAAATCTAACTTGTTACATAAGAAACCCTAATCAAACCCTAACCCGTTATCTTTTTTAAAAAAAAAACTTCCGAAATCTATCCCTCAATTCCTTACAACTGAAAAAGACATCAACACCATTAAAGAAATTAAAAATCCAAAACCTAAATTTTAATCTCCTAAAAAAAATCATAAAAACATTGTTTATATCATTTTTTGGGTGTTGGGAGAAACTCAACCCCAAGCTTCTTGAATTCATTATAGCTTCTAAAAACCATTTCAATAATTGGTAATGAAGTCCCATCATGTGTCCGGGTACCTTGTCTTTTTCAATGAAACAATTGATCAAATATTGATATCCAATGTAATGAACCTCTAAAGTAATCAACTTAATCTTGATTTCTCCTTCAAGATAAAAGGTTAGTACTTCATATACTCCAACTATGTATCTTCTTTTTCATAATTGCTGCCAAAATTTCTAAAATTTATAGTTATCAATAAATTTCGCTATGAGAGTTTCTTCTTCATAGTCTTCTTCCTCTTATTGCCATTTTTTAAGCCAATCTTATAATTGTTTTTGCATTATTTTGTGAAGGCCTTGTATAAGGTCTTCTTTGACTTAATTATTTGATCCACATGCCCCATAACAGGATCAGTAGTTGTTTGCGAAAGCATTATGTTTTATGAATCTCAAGCTCTTATCTACTAGCCTGATCTATGGGCTTTGATATCAACTAACGTAAGGAAAAAATAATAAATAAGAAAAACAAAAATAAAATAAAAAGGTTGAGAGAATATACTTTCTTTCAAGGTATGCAAGGGGAGTCCAACCCCAAGATTTCTTCACATAATTGAAAACCAAGATCGAAATGCTTCATCCCTGATGGAGACACATTGAGCATTTTTACAAAGATATCCTTGACCCCAAATCAGTGTTGGCCATGTAGCCTTTCAATGCCTTTAAGCCAGAAGTCTTTTGCTCAGTGGGAGTTAGAAAGAGAGAGTGAACTTGGGTGCTTGGGGCATTGAGGCTCAGATTCAAATACTCTGAGTTTTATGAGGCATTGAGAGTTTGCGCTTTGAGAGAGTAATCTCTCGAGGAGATAGGGTCACCTCCGAGTCAGGACTATATTGGCTGGAATGCCTCATAGTTGATACGATAAGCCAAGAATTGGATTATCCAAACGAGAATAATAGAACCGGAGTATTTAAAATAGTATTTGCCATATATAGAATGGTTGGCTCATGGGACATGAGCCCGTATCCTGACACGAGATCGTTTCATGGCATGTACACCCATAGTTGTATAGGGTAGTCACTCTTCTATAGTATTATCCGACTTAAAAAAGCTAGTGTACATGTGCTTTGAGATGACCATTTTATTTGAGTATAAACATATCCCACAGGGGTGCATCAGTAATCTATTGAACCCCCAGTGATGGGAAGCTTTGGCTAAGCAATTTTGATGTGATCGATTATGTGTTTCTGCCATAGACTATAGAGCATAGCTCTGTTGGATCGGCTTGAGATACTGATGGAACGTCATTCGGATTAGCCTAGTGAAAGACTCCGACTAGTATTATAAGTCTAGATATCTCATTTGCCTTTGACCTAAATTAATATAAAATTGATGAGAAAAGAATTTACATTAATGAAAAAATGTATAATAATGTTGAAAAATCATTTGGAGAGTTTTTTAGATTTTTGGAGAATTTTTCAAAATTTTTAAATAGTAAAAAAAATGTGATTTTTAAATTTGTCTGACATAAATACCGAAAAGGACATCCTAAGGGGATGACACATGGATCCCAAATGGCCCCTATTTGTCATTAGTTATTTTTATGGTATTGTGTTATAACTTATTATCTTATTATATATAGTATTATATATTGTTATGACTTAAGGTTGATTTAAGTCAGATGTTCTTTTTTGCTCACATGTACTATTTTTTGGCATATGTGAAGTCAGGGGATTTTGATAATTAAATTGATTTATATTATTATCCATATATGATTTTGTGGCATGTAGGTATATCTTATGTTGCATCACCTTATAGGCTTGACCCATGTGAAATTTTAGTATTTTTGAAATCCTATTACATAAGATATTTTATTCACATATGTGGATGTCACGTATTACCTTTATGCCTATGCGCTTGTCTTTTATTGACTCTCACAAATTATTTAAAACTCATTGGCATAAGTTTAAAGATGAATTTGAACTCAATGGGAAATAAAATATGGAGCTAAGGGCTTTGAGATAAAATAATTATAAACCTAGGTATTGAGGAGTGAAGGGTAGAAAAAGCTCATCAATTGATCTTGGTAAAAAGATATGGATGAGTGACTTGGATAAAAGCCTCTCATGTGTCATTGATCTAAGGCATCAAGGATCATGATCAAATCCATCTTTATGATCTAAGTTTAAAAGTAAGTTTAGATAATAAAAGTAAGTTATGCGATCAATTATAACCCTAACTTGAGTATTTACTTCAAAGAGAAAGAGCGAGCCCCCTTGACAAAAATGTGGCCAAGACTATCTTATTCCTTGAGCTTTCATTTGAATTCATGGAATAGTCCCTCATGTGTGTGATCAAGTTCATACTATTGCTTCACCAAGGTATTGATTTTTCTTCTTATATTTTAATTCCTACCTCATTTCCATTATCAAAGCTTGCTATATTTCTTAATTTAAAGTAGTTTTCTTCATTTTTTGTCATGAAAATTTGATATTTGAATAGTCTCAAAGAAATAATATAGTCCATACACATGGCATGTGTCGACTAGCTTGCTTACTCAATGATCTTTAGTAGTTTCATCTTGATTTTCTTGATCTTATTTTTCTATAATTTTTGCTGAGAATATAAAACTAATAAGAGGTTTATTTCATCATATTTGAGCATATGAAATAGTCTCTTGAGTTCTTTTTTTAATGTTGAAAAGTTTGTGTGGTCCCTTAAGGACCACATAGTATAGTTTTACTATAACTCCCTTATTTTGTATAGGATCTATCTCACACTTTGAAGAGCTATTTTGATACTTGTTTCTCATGATTTGATCATCATTAAGTGAAATAAAAGTGATAATTTTCTTCCCATTTGATTGATCTCATTGAGTCATTATTATCACCTGTGCTTTGGACAATAAGACAAAATTAAGTCCTCAAAAGGTATGTTCGTAGCCCGGACACAAAGGGTTCGAACCATGACTTCCACCATGTATGTTTGTATGTTAATTTGATATATTTACAGTTATTTAGCTATTCATAATTGATAGAGTTGAGTATATTATGTAAATATTAAGATTGTTATTTAATCTTGCGGTATGAGCTTTAATGTTATGCTGTATTGTTTATGCGAATTGAAATCTCATTGGATTATTATGATCAAGTGTATGATGTATATAAGACATTGTGATATATGATGAGGATGAAAAATGAAGATGAAATTGTCATATAATTTAAATATAATGAAGAATTACGAGTGCAAGTCATGTAATATGCTATAGAGATGTACATTGTGAGTATTTGAATATTGTATGGAGTTTAATTGTATTTTTTAGTAAAAAAAAATTTAAGGGACCTATTAGGGTTGAATTTTTATTATTCAAATGTGTATAAACTATGTTTGTAGGCTAGAATATATGTATTATGGTTAATGGAAATTTTTTAAAGGATTGCATTTCTAGCCCATTGGTCTTATACTACCAACAATCAAGACAAAATCTACTTTCCACAACACTACTCATTATCATACTGAAAAAGTAACTCATAGCTAGAGCTACATTTCCAACCTGTATCCAACCTTAATGTTTCTGGAGTAGGGTTGACTTTGGTGGTCTAACCATGAGCCCCTGCAGTGGACTATGTGTCATGACTCAAGCACCCTATTTGGGAGCCTTCCACCGCTTGATGCAACCTCATGCAACAAGAGTGAATCTTTTGATGGGGAGGTTCTTACCAAACTCTTTTTCTCTTCACTTCATTTTCTAAATGAATAGTTACATATTTATAGAAGAAAAGAAACCTGAAACCTAAGTTGTTCCCTAATAAAGTCTAATACAATCATAACCCTTCCTCTAAGAAAAAAATAAACTATTGAATCTGCCACTCAATTATCTATAATTAAAAAGATAAAAAAACCCGCAACGAAACTTAAAACCTAATATAATCTGAAACCTAAATTTTAATCTTCTTCTTATAATCGGAGAGAATCAGAGATAAGCAACAAGGTGTAAAGAGATGAGAGAAGACGATCTTAGTTGGATCAATTCTCATTAACGATGACAGGTAATAGGGTTTATATACAAACACAAATTTAATGTAGACCACATTATCACTACACAAATATACAATAACAATAAAAGACAACTGAAAATAACTGAAAATTATACATCTTATTTTTGTATACACATTATTACCCCCCTTTAAGCTGATGCAGACATGAAGAAAGCATTAGCTTATTCACTAGAAAATCATGACGGCTCCTAGTAACAGATTTGGTGAAAATATCAGTCGTTTGCACAGTAAAAGAAACATAATGACAATATACATTAATATGCTTTGTTCGCTCATGAGAAACTGGATTAGATGCAATCTTAATTGCACTTTGGTTATCTGCATATAAACGTGTGGGATTTGAAATAGAGATACCAAACTCATTGAGAAGAACACAAACCCAAACAATCTCACTAGCAACAGAAGATATAGCATGATATTCAGCGTCAGTGCTGAACTTGGGAACAATGTCTTGTTTTTTGCTCTTCCATGATATTAATGATAGCCCAAGAAATACACAATATCATGTAGTAGAATGACAAATGTCTGGATCACCTGCCCAATCTGCATCTGCATATGCACAAAAATCTAAAGAGGATGTGGAGTCAAAGAATAATCCACGAATGGAAGTATATCGAACATAGCGTAAAAATTGATGAACTGCTGATAAATGTGGTTGTCGAGGATCTGAAACAAATTGGCTCACAACATGGACAACATATGCAATATCTAGGTGAGTCATAGTGTGATAGATGAGGGAGCCGACAAGTTTGCGATACATCGTAGGCTCAAGAAGAGGATCTCCAACATGTGTAAAAAGTTTAACATTGAGTTCCATGGGCATATCAACAACCTTCACATCATTCAATCGGGCACCGAAAACAAGATCAAGTGCATACTTCTGTTGATGGATGTAAATACCACGTTTAGAGCGAGAGATCTCAAGGCCAAGAAAATAAGATACTTCCCCAAGATTCTTCATTTGAAATTCTTCTTACAATTGTAGCTTTACATCCTTAATGGAATTGAAATCATTGCCAGATATAAGAATATCATCAACATATAATAAAATAATATAAATTTCATGCTTTGTGGTACGAATAAACATGGAGTAATCATGTTTATTTTGAGTGAAGCCAGTTACAAGAATGACAGCCCGAAAACGCTCAAACCACGCATGGGGAGCTTGTTTGAGGCCAACATATATTAAATTCAAATAAAGGTTGGGAATATGATAAACATCTTTCAATGCTAAGAAGCTACCAGATGGACCAGGGACACTGGTATTACGAGAGTGGGTAACATGAAGTGGAGATCCATTAGCAGTAAAATAAGCCATATTTTCATAATGGGGTTTTACAGAGGATAAATGCAAAAAGTTGTCCTGTCAAATGATTTGATGCTCCTGAGTCTATCATCCAAGTGTTTGATAAAAGATTTGAGTTATCTGAAAAACCCATGGCAGCTAAAACTTGAGCAAATTGTTGGAGTGTATTTGAGTCAATAGAGTGAAGATATGGCATGGATACAGGGGTAACAGATGTGGAGGTAAAATGAGAGTGACTGGAAGTGGCATCCTCCATGCTGGTGGGACTAGAAATGGAGGCGATTGCAATCCATTGAGTCTGACTAGGTACAGGAGGCTTCCCACGTGATTGTTATTGAGTCAACAGAGTAAAGATCTAGCATGGATACATGGGTAACAGATGGAAGTAGAATGAGAGTTACCGGAAGTGGCATCCTCCATACTGGTGGGACTAGGAATGGAGGTGATTGCAGCCCATTGAGTCTGACTAGGTATACGAGGTTTCCCACGTGCCTGAGGGCGTTTTTTATAATCATTTAATACATGCGCGATCTTCTTACAATAATTGCAAAAAATGTGCTTCTTGCACCAATCGACTGTGTAGCCTCTTTGTTTGCATATGTAACATTGCACTTGGACATAATTGGTATCCTTGTTAGGGAAATTGGACGTGGCTAATGCCACATCAGTGACATCTTGTGATGTGGATTTGCAAACCCCAAGAGAGCTTAAGCGAGTTTCTTCAGCAAGGAGATCTGAAAGGTAATCATCTAATGGTGGAGTGGGAGTACAATGAAGGATTGATGCTCTCATGCTTTCAAACTCCGATCGCAACCCCATAAGAAAGTGAAATAAACGAGACCGATTTCGTGCTTTAATAATAGCTTCAGTGGATGACTTTGTCTCCATCAAGTCTATCTCATTCCATATACCTGAAAGAGTATTAAAATAATCTTGAATTGATGAGTCCCCTTGTTATGTCTTCATGCTCTCCTGTTCAAGGGTATAGAGATGGGCATTATTTGCTTGAGAATAAATCTTATGTAAATAATCCCACATTGCTTTGACACTAGATTGATACGTGAGGTTGCGCTCAATTTTGTGCTCAATTGAGTTCATAATCCATGTCACAATAGAGTTATCTATGGCAAGCCAATCACTACGCCTATTCTCATCCTTAGGTTGGGGAACATAACCATCAATATATCCCCATAACTTCCATCCCATGAGAAAACTTCTCATTTGAAAAGACCACAATCAGTAGTTCTTCCCACCAAGATGCACAGAAATAGTAGTACTTTCTGTATTATTCTTGGATTCCATGATAATAAAAGGTATGGCTGACAAGAAGTACACGAGGTTGCAAGAGGATAAAAGAACTAAAAGCACAACTACTAGAACACAAAAATAACAACTCCAACTCGATGGATTCAATATTAGCCAAAATACACCAAAAAATTTTTTTTTTTACTCCAAGAAGACAAAATAAGAAAATAAGAACGAGGGTAATGTAGGAAGAACGAAGGTATACTTAGAAAGTAACAAAGTGCTTATTGCTGCTCCTTGGGAAATTTCTAATGGAGGAAACAATGCATTATTTAAAGGCAAACAACAAGAAGACAAAACCAGGGTGGGATGAGGAGAATAAGATAAAAAATTTCAAGAAGAAGAAGATTTTGAAGGCAAGAGTGGAAGCAAAGACGTTGAATATATGCAGTAACTAGGTAAACGGAAGAAAAAAAAGACGTTCGCACTTCATGAGTGTAGAGAAAGAGATACTCGGCAGTTGTCGAAAATCTTTAGCTAATCAAAAGTAAAATAAACAAGGGCAAACTGACCTTCAGAGATCGCTAATCTGTGAGAAACAATGATGAAGACAATATAATTTTTGTCAATCAAATTTCACAGCAATACTTATTTGAACCTTGCTCTGGTACCATCTTATAATCGGAGAGAATCAGAGAGAAACAACAAGGTGTAGAGAGATGAGAGAAGACAATCTTAGTTGGATCAATTCGCAATAACGATGAAAGAAACCCTAATAGGGTTTATATACAAATACAAATTTAATGTAGACTACATTATCCCTACACAAATTTACAATGACAATAAAAAACAACTGAAAATTATACATCTTATTTTTATATACACATTATTACTTCTAAAAAAACAAAAACTAAAGATCATAAAACATGGTTTGTATCATTATCTTCCTAGCATTTCATTGCAGACAATGTAGTTTAATATTCCAAACTATGTTAGTGCATCACTTGAGGCCACATTAGCTACAATCATATACAAATTGACCACGATCATGAATATATTTGGAAGTTCTATCTATCAGCCATCCATCTTCAAAAACGTTGGCGGTGGATAACTCCTGAAAGTAAATTTTGATAGCCTTTTGTTCATATTAACTGAGAGACTTAAGGCCACTTTGCAAACCTCAAGTAGAGCCAAAGGTTCCTCATTTGGGCATCTGTTGCGTCACAAAACGATAAATTATTATCTTCATATTGCAGATGCGAGATAGTTGACCCATTTTAGAAAGCCTTAAAAATTTCCAACAATCACTCCATGAAACATTCTAAAATACTCATCGATCATAAGAAAATAAGAAGGGAGAGAGGGAGCCCTTGAAGTTTTAATGAGAAAACCTTGGGGCTTCCATTTACGTGACTTGAGAAGTGAGTTGATTCAAAACATCCCTAAATCCACTTGCACGAACTTTTCCGAAATAACACTATTAGAGGAGAGTCTCCATGCTCCAACTTCTTAATTTGTTTTTGATGGCTTGAAGCTTCTTACATAATTTGAAACCGTGATGATCTTCCACCTTGATAAAGTTCTCCCAACTTCTTACTAAGCCCCCAATGGATGATCATCAAGCTACATTAATTTTAATTTGAAATACACTCAGAACAATTGAATTTTGTGTCTATTCATGAAAGAATACGGTCTAAAAATAGTTCAGGAAGTACCCTAGCATTCGATCGTCATATATTTGATAGAGCATAATATATTGGCTTCAGATTTGGTACGGTGTGGCTATCCAAAGACCCCTTTACCCCTACTTCTCCCCTTCCCCATACCCAAAAACTAAAGAGTCCATGGATGGAGGATCCCAAAGTCCTCATAAATACTGCAAATCCAGTTTTGCCTCTAAAACTTGATCTAGAGCTCCTAAAATAGTGAAAATATTGATATCAGGTAATTAAGTGGGGAATACTGGCGTTACCCATTTATTAAATTGTTAGGTTTTTTTAAGCTGTCAGTGGATATGAAGAGCACGATGTACAACTAAATGGGGCATGCTACCCCACAACCTCATCCTCTTTCTTGCTATACATATTTCCAACAATCCAACAAATTTTATGCCATACGAGAGAAAAAGATGACACAATATGTGGTGACACCAAGTCAACGTCGGCACATCTTGTACATAGCATGCAACTGCAACTGAGCTAAAGCATTTTCGTCCTCTTTCTCCCTTTCATATAAAACTGAATTCTTGAGTGTGTGTGCTCCACACTCACCATATGAATATTCTTACCAAATAATAACTTTTTGTTCCCATACACTTAAATCCGTTTGTCCAAAGAATTGGATATTCTATATTTAATCCTGGAATTTATTTTTACGGAGTGTATGTTAACTTTGGAAAAAGTTAATATCGAAGTGAGGAGCATCTAAAAAACTCATCAAAATAGGTCGTTTTGATGCTATAAACCCCTCAAATTGATCACACCAACCTCGAGATATATGAATATGGAAATACAAATATTTTAACTCATGAAATAGCATATCTTGTAATGTATTATTTGGGTCATCTATTTTCAAAAGTTTTAGTTGTGTATAGATATGTCTAATTTGCATCATTTTTTTAGCTTTAAATTTTATCACTAAAGGTGACAAATAGATTTTCACGTTATTACAAAGCTTTTCGGCACTAAATTTGAATCTTTTGACATAGCTTTGAAGTGTAGCTTTGAAGTGCATCTTACTTCAATAATATAAGGTTGACATCTTATGCAAACCTGACCCATTAACTTTTTTAAGTTGCAATTTAAGCTGAGAAGATTTAGACTTACCCCCTAAATGTTGGCTAAGAAACTTGCCAGAAACCTATAGCCTGAACCCTGAAGCACACTAGCTTAGTGAACTATACGACAAACTGAATTGTAGTCTACACTTGAACCATAGTCCAACCATAAGATATTCTAAAATATTATTTAGAACCCATTTTAGGAGCCGGACATCCACAATAGGTATGTTATAAGCATAAAGTGAGAAAATATTCAAAATAGCTGAAATAGCCCTCGCAAAAAGCAAAATTTGACATAACGCTTAGTGAATTTGGCAACCTTAGACTTGAGCTAGGTAGGCGGCAACGACCTGAATCTCGCTGCTAAGGGCAATGAGCCTAGTGATGTGTCTGGTGCAGCTAATCCAATTAAAACCCTAAATTTTCTACAAATTTCAAATGGAGAAGAACATCCTTATTAGGTCAACCAAAGATGCCGAAGCAAATTCCTAGGCAAAAATCCCCCAGAGTATTCAAAACAAACTGTGGTTCAGCAAAACTAGAAGGTCAAGTAACTAGATGACTCGTATCTTCAGTGTGATATGGGCCCCAAGTTCGGGTGATGGGCCTAGAGACACGACTTACCAGTTAGTTTTTATATTTTTTATTTATTTCTCTTTATAGATTGCTTTTTGAGAAATTACGTAAAACTCCATTATACTTTGCGTTATTACGGATATACCAAATAGATTCCGTTATTACAGTTGTGTCCGATTTTTATCTTCTATAATGCTATTTTTAAAAAAAATACATCTTTACCCTTTTTCGGATGTTGAACATCCGAATTTGTGGGTTTTTCGGATGTTGAACATCCGAATTTGTGGGTTTTTTGGATATTCAACATCCGAAAATGGGCGCAAGTTAAAACATTCAATGTGGTATTTTTGGATGTTCAACATCCGAATTTATGATATTTTCGGATGCTGAACATCCGAAAACAGTGCGACAG